AGCCAGCGCAACCTATGCAGTGTGATCGGTTCATCTATCGAGGGTGAGTTATTTCTCCTGAATACCATTCGACGTACTTCAGAATTGCTGATCCGGTGTTCCCACCAGATTTGTCCATCCTGCTCGTTTGTTTGCCCTTTACTACTGCACTGCGTACCAGTAAAACCATAACTAGTCAACAACCACTGAGTTTGTAATGCGTTGGCGGCACGTAATCAGTAAAGATGATTGAATGAAAATCTATGTTCAGAAATTCACCAAGGCATTCTTCGTGAAGTAAAGCAAGTGAGCTCGAATCAGCCCAGTGGTTAGGGTGCGAAATTACTGTCCAGAGAGTCCGTGATTCGAACCGAATCCCGGCATTTCTACTACTACTATCTAGGCCCGAACCGAATCCCGGCATTTCTACTACTACTGCTATCTAGGTCTGGGCAACTTGGTAGTATCTCAGGATGTCTGACCTCCTGACTTACTACAGCCTACCCGTGGTAACTAGGGTTTACTCAGTTCAGTCGTTTGCGCTTTTCATCAATCCGACCTTGACTTTCCTTTCAGAAATCTCGATATCATTTCCATTTTAGTCCGAAAGACCGGTCAGGTACAAACTGGACCTAAAGCTTCCCTACGAAGTCGATTATTCCCAGGGGGTCGCAAAATTCGACAAGTCAACCAGTACACTGACTACTACGGTTCCCTTATTACAGAAGAACACTAAGTGTGACCCGCCTGACAGCTTGCCATCTACATCTTCGGTGGATTCCTTAATTTGTTTAACTCCTTCCCAACCGACGTCCCCACCTTCATCCAGTCCAACAGGCGATGAACCGATGGTTAACTCGACACACAGCAAACGTAAACGTCGAAAACGAAATCGTCGGCGGTCCTCAACGAGTGGACCAACGAGCAGCACAGTCGTATCTACTTCCACGGATGACGTGACCACTTCGATTGACGTTAGCCAGCCGTTGGACCATATGGATCCTCAACCCAGCGACATTCGGAGCAACGACACACCCACTGTTGTGCCAAACCATACGGTTGAAAGTAAACCCGAGACCGTTTGTTCTGCAGGGCTTACTGTACCGGTTAGACAGATTGGAATAAACCAGCTCTTGGTAACCAAAGACCGGTAGGTTTTCATATTTCTTCCCACTTGGTTGTTACTTCCATCATCGATTCGTTTTACTTTTTAGTCATCATGATCAGTACGCATGTCCCGCTCTGTTTTTGGGGGATGGTATTGTGGAGTCCTCTCTGTCCTTTTTTCAAGGACCTTGTGCACGAGCTAGCGCTTTGTGATCTGGCAGAATGTCTCATCTTGTCAACCCAGTGACTTGCAGAAAACTATGGTTCACACAAACTGTATTGATTTCATGCCACATCGACTTTCGCCTTGTGTCCACATCCGCGTGGTCTCAGTTGCTGTGTACAGCCGCGTAGTTAGGGGAAAACAATACCGCTAACAATTCCTTGCATGATGATTCTTTCCTTCCCTACTCCACTGGCCGTATTCCTTATGGTTTCATCTGTCAGGACCAATGATCCGCACCCACGATTTGTGGTGCCTAGTACATGCCGACAGCCTTGGACACCTCGAAATAAGTCCTGGAGCCGCCAATCCTGGTCTGGCTGGCCTCCTCTGGAGAAGTCAGGATAACCGACTGCTCTTGCTTTCACAGTGATATCGTTTGGCGTGGATGTTCAGCACCATTAAAAACAAGAGCTCGTGATTCATGTAAAGTTCTCGAATTAACTGCCTCGTCGCTGTCTCGCTACCAGCTTCGTGCCTTTGCCTTAGAGGCTGCTACGACATGCCATACAGAGAGCATTGTCTATGTGGGTTATCAATTTGCAGGGCCCTAAGTGGACTGGTTACTGGTTCCTAGTTGTTCCTTCGGGGGTGGCCCGGTAGTGTCTGAGAGACTCTCCACAGTTCACAAAGTTTAGAAGTTCCGGGCAAAATTCCGCTCGGATAGTGTGAAAAAGATCGAGCTTTGTGTGGCGTGTAATATGGAATTTTGAATTTTAAACATTCAAAATTTCATATTCAACTTTTCTGCTTCCATTCTTATACCGTCGAGGACGGTCCCTAGGGTGTTGAGCGCGGATAATGGTAAATGGTCGTTTCAACTATCCTGATGGCAAACTGCTTTTAAACAGAAGAATTATGACTGTGACACGGTCACATGACCCTAATGGATATTTCTTCTAAATTGTCTGAAGAGGAAGTCTTGTTGTTGAACGAGACTCCCTTGTAGGGGCGAAATATGATTGGCAACAATGTGCAGTGGCATTCAGAGTAGGCTTTCCTGTCGGTTTTTTGGGAGGGTAAGTCAGCGGACATTGTAGAGACCCCAATGTGGCTGCCGTTGTCAGATAGACTCGCAGCGTGTAAACTTCAATTCCGTTTTGATTATCCATACCCCATCATTATTCTTTGGTGTGGGAAGCAGTTGTAGATTTCGTTTGTTTAAAATCTTGTGCACCTCAAAATGGAATGTTTTTAAAGGGAGAACACTTCTGATTGGTCTTGAGTATGTTCTATAAGGAGCAAACGTAACTGTTTTACTCCTTCCCTAGAGGCTTGATGAACTGTGATTCTTGTCCATTGTGCTAACTGATCCAATGTCCTCACTTCATGATTAGCCTACTAAATGTCCCGTCGGAGGAAGGAATGGTTTCGTGAATTTCAGTTTTCTTTCATTGTGAATACAATATTCTCTTTCCAAGAACCATCTGAAGAGGAGTGATTTTTGCGATTTAGTTTGTCGGTAACAGAACTTCTCGCTTCCACTGATATATCGTTACGTAAGTTGAACATTCGCTTACGTGGTTATTTCAAAACAAGATATATATCGGGAAACATTGGAACCAATGCCTTATTGGTAAGTGCAAGTTTCTTTGAACGATGGGACTCTCTTCTACAAATCAGCCGGTGGTTTGTAAACCTTGGGCGGCGGTCAGAAATTTTGCATGATTCAGTGTTTTTTTCGCGGAATATTGGAGAAGCGGTCGTGACTATTATAAATTTGTGTGACCTCATGATTGTTAAAATACCATGTTTATTCGGACTTGTTTGCGTGTCTGACTTTAGACTAAGCGATGCTTCGGAGTAGGAAACAGTGTCAGTCATCCTCAAGGACTTCCTTGTAAATTTAGGATGCTGTGTGAAGCTTGAAATGTTAAATGTCCTTATTTGGGATGCGCGGTGCACACCATACCTTCGTGACCAGATGGCCCGTGATTTGAATCTAACTCAGACACCTCGGCTGCTTCAGTTTGGGTTTGAGCAACCTGAGTACTTTAGTCCTCATGCTTCTTCCGGGTGTCACGGCAGCTGAGCATCGAAAAAGTGTTACAGCTGAACGACTATTATTACTCTATTCTTCTTCCATCGTCACCTTGGTACTCACTGTGAACAACCGAACAAAGCTCTCGGTCTTCTCAGCTTACTATTTCGGCCGTTTTCTGTTGACTACTTACCCGGCACTTACAAAGCTTTCTCCCTCCTTCGCTTTGACGGCTGAAGTCGTCTGGCTCCCGTGCGTTTTCGACAAGACCCATTTTCCGTCTCAATTCTCTTACCTGTCCGTGGCATTCTTCCTGAGTCGACGGCACTCAGCTGGGCTGTGGAACCGATTGAGACGAAAGAACAGGATGATTCTGGGGCAAACGATAGCTCGGATTCTTCATCTGTTGCTTTTCCCATCAAACCACTTCTCCTACTGATCACATTTGCAAGCCGTGGAGCTGGTGGATGCACGATGGATTGGGGCGTGGTTTTGCGCTGTCCGTCCAATGCAGCCGGAACCGATGTTACTTGCAGGGAACGTTTTTCGCCGGACAAATTACCCATCGACTTAGAACCCTCGCAAACCGTTCAATGGAAATCTAATCTGTACTCTTACAAACAGGATCCTCCAAAAATCGTTAGTTCGGCATTCTCATCGACCAACGCAGTCATCGTCTTGGCCAAACCACCTCCAGCCTGCTGGGACAACACATCCCTCCGGTTCCCCAATAGCGCGCCTCATCTTTTGAAAAACCCCTCGATCTGGTGGAATTCTGTGGCGGTTGGACGTACACTAACCGCTGGGATGCAAGTACGTTTCGCACCTAGTCTAGATTGTCTCGTTTTTTTTGTGACAGAAAGTGGTCAGTTCGCATCCACACAGTCAAATATTTGTTAGCATTTTGTGCCATTACTTTTGGAAGGTCAATCAGACATCTGCCGGAAAACCGCTTTCTCAACGAACAATCCTTCCATTGTTTCTTATCAGACTGATTCGTGTCTCGCATGTTGATTATGTTTTCTTTTATTAGTTCTAAGTGGTAAAATTGGTGATCCTTAATTGAACCTTCCAGTAGGGCATTCTTTGTCCATGAGGTTCCCAGTCTAAGCTGATACTAGACTTTGACTGACTGTCTTCTTCCGTATCATGTTTGTAGCCGTTCTCAATAGGCTTTGTTAGAAGTAAAAAACACTTGGTGGGCCTGCTATTTAGATGTTAAATAATAGTTGCGTCGGAGGAGGAAGGATATTATGTTTAACTCACGTTCAAATTCACAACCATATTGGTCACCCAGCAAGAAACATCTCTACGAATCATTCGGTTTATTATTTATCCTGCGCTACCGCGTATTGGAGGACTTCAAAGCATGGTACAAAGAGCAGGCAGCTACCAAACGGAGCACTTGCAAGGCACGAACGGAGAGGAAATGCACTGTTGTTGCATCCAGGAGATTTGTATAGAGTGTGACGTCAAAAGGTATTCGTAAGCTCTACGGGGGTTGACTACGCCGGGCCCCCCCCCCCCCCCGACTGGTTCATATCTTTCATCAGAGTGGATGCTTCTTATTCTTTGGGTGTTCGCCTTTTAAGGATCTTATTTTAGCATTTAACATTTACTGAGCACGTAATTGTTTGGTCCTGAGTAATAAATTCAGACTACTACAGGTTTCCATTGCTACGTTTTGTTCCCTCTTTGGGTGTTCGCCTTTTAAGGATCTTATTGTAGCATTCAACAATTACTGAGCACGTAATTGTTTGGTCCTGGGTAATAAATTCAGACTACTACAGCATTCCATTGCTACGTTTTGTTCCCTACCTCTCTCTCGAGGGCTGTGGAGCAACTCGTATGTTGTCGGCTTTCCTGTTGGAAGTGTGTTTTCGTCACCAAACCCAATTACTACTGTACACTTTTATATCCGTGCACACAAACCCCTGCCAGATAGACTTCGTTCTCATCAGTTTGTATTGTGGTCTGGGCCAAAGGTAAATAATCGTGCTTATGCATTTCTGAGTTCCTTTTACGTCAATGTACTTATGCTTTTTACTTGTAGGAATATCCTTTTGTTGGTGTCGAAAGCTGTTTATGTGGGTGTTTGAAGTTAAGCGATCCATCGCCTATTGCTGGAGAATTCGATCAATCAGCTGGTCGTGTAAGGGTGCACGCCCTCTCCGCTGATTGTTGCGATATCTTGTGGACCCGGTCGGAAACTTTTCCACATCTGGAATCCATTCCACCTCTCCCCACATCTCTTTCCATAAAAAATGAACCCACAAATTGCAGACCTAGGAAGGACTCTTGCGGGTCTGCACCGGTTGCTCTAAAAAGTATTTTGAAGCAGAGATCCTATTCAGGTGAGTAACTTTGTTTGCCCGGTGGCAGTCGGCTTCATTACAGCTGGCTTGCACGCGAACTGGTGTCTGCCACAACTTAGGTAAGTGTTGGAAGGTAGATTTTGCTGCACTGAAGTTAGACGATGTTAAAGGCATTATCCTGCAGTCAAGCGGCCCGTTCGGAAGGTAGGGCTTGGTGCCAACCAAGAGCGGTCAATCGTGACCTCTGGTAAACTCTGCCAGCAGTTTACCATTCTTTGGAAGAACACTATCACTTGTGATTAAGGCAATAAATTGTCCGTCTTAATGTGCTTGTAATTTCGCCTCTCAGCATTTATGAGAAGTATACCGAACTACGCTCCGTGTATTGTGCGACAGTTCATTTCTCCTTACTTGCTTCAAACTTGTCCGAGCGTAACTAGAACACCAAGGAACACCATTGCACTCTCGTCGCTTCACCACTCCTCCCAACACATGCTGATTGAGAAGTGTGCCTACAAAGCGACTGTCAATTGGCTTTCTCTGTGCATTCGATTTATTTCACGCAGTACCGGTGGTAGTTCCTTTGGTTTGCATTATCGATCAAGGATTTTGTTTGTGTCTACTGTTGATTGGTCTATTACTCCGATTTTTGACATCCTTTTGCATATACCGCTACACAGTTGTCAGTTTCTGTTTCTTGCATTATTTTCCCCGAGCTTTATACACATCTGCAAAAACAGTGTTCGCAGACCCACTCTGAACGCGTTCTGTTTAATTGTTTCAAACGAAACTCCGTTGTAGAATCTAGCGGTGACGAGCAGGTATCCAGAGCGATCGGTATAGCTGACACGGGAGTTGACAATTTATTCTCATCTGACGATTTTCCCACTGCTAGCAGCGGGGAGGACGATGCTACTACGTCCGCTGCTTCCTCGCATTCGCAGCTGCCTCCAATGATCTGTCGTATTCGACGTTGTGTCTCGAATGAAAAACTCGCATCCACCAGTCAAGCTTTTCAGGTTGATAACTCGTCCTGCGGACGACATCGCCGAAGATCAGTCAATTTCTCGTCCCAGGATCAACATATCGCATATTCACCTCGCGATACGGTCGTGGCGTTGCATCATACGTTGGCCACTCGACGGTGAGTTTTTCGCTCCCAGTTACAAGGACGTCACATGACACTTTTTTCGGAAGCTAGCTCCGTTTGTATTTACTGCTTCAGCCTTTTTTGTGTGATTTAGTGATGCACTTGAGGCACCGCTAACACGAAACTGAGGTATAGTTAACTTCTCACAGTTACAGCTGCCACGGCTTGTTCTCTACTTCGTATTTAATTTGGTCTAAGGTTAGTAAAGATTTTGAGAACCGCCACAGTGGTTTACTCTGCGTTCAACGTGATACTGAAGAGCTTGAAGAAGACTCAGAAGCCGACCAGTCTTGTAGGTGCGCAATGCATAGGAGTCTTACCACCTCTCCAAGCGTTCGGTCGAAATCCCATGCCAATCGATTTCACCTGCTAAGGTGAGGCCGTTGTACGAGTGGGTGTCAGAGCCATTGTATTGTCGTGGAACATGTGTGAACACACCAACTCATTCCGTCATTGTAACCTTCTGACCTACTTAAAATTTCAATGCCGTAGTGCTGAATACAGTAACTCGCAGTTGCTGCAGTAAATTTATGGGAGTTTACGCACTCCACAGTGTGTCGTGTGCCCTCTGTAGTTTGTTCGTGTTCATGATTTATTATGCCTGAGTGGATCAACTTTCCATTATCATTTACTCGTACAGGAACCAGTTGAAGTCTGACGCGCGAGTAATTAACCGTTTACTCCAATTGTTGTCACGGCAACAGCCTGATTATTGATCACTTTTGAAGTGTCAATAAGGTCAGGTAGCCTGTTGCTAACCGATTGGTGAAGACCTGATGGTTTTGTTTTATGAAAACTTCGATACAGATTATGTTGCCTTATCTTCCTTTTTTACCACAAATTCCAAATTAAGCTGTCTTTGGCGCTTTTTTATAGCAAAAAAGCTCTCAAACGAGAAGCTAGACGTCGAAATCCCAGTGGCGAGGGTCAGACTCCGGAAGCTTGCCCTCCACGGTCACCAAAAAAGAACAATCGCCAGTCAGTTNGTCAGTTTTTCTCCGGGAACAATTCGATTTGCGATTTCCCTACAGAGACTGGTCATTCTCTCACCATGTGCAATTTGAAACCCGTTGGTATGTGTGTTTTGTGGCAGTTTGCCGATTTTCTGTATTGCTTCGTCTCATTGTTTTGTTTCGCCTGATTTCTATAGACGATCTGAATTTCTACTCACCAGCACTAATCAAGGTCACCGATTGCTAAATCGTCAGAAAAATTGGGTGTATGAAGTCCCCCGGAACTGTGAATTCAACTAATTGGAGTTCGTACAAAGTTGTTCAGCACTTTACTGACAAGTGGTAATTCAGTTCGGAGTTGGAACATATACATATGCGCTTGCCTTGTCAGTGGTTTTTTCTACAATGAATGTGTTACCACACTTTTTAATTCTTTTGCCCCTTCAAACTTTTATCTTTCAGTAAATCCTCGTTAGATTTCGGGGGCTAATCAAGATGTTCAACCTGAAGAATTAGACAATGTATACATCTGACATATATAGCGTTGCATAACGTCAGTTCGACTGGGAATGATGTCATGGCAGTGGGCACCAGCTTCTCCTTATTAAACAACTCTGACCCGACATTACCAACTTGTTCACTGAATTGATGGGCGAAATACTGAGACGTCCCGAAAGGGACTGCAAAATCATAACCGTGTTGTTTCCTTTTCGGACCTCAAGCACCGCGAATACTATCTGGCATTGCAGTTCATTGCTCCTGGGCGATTGTAGAATGTGATTTTGAAAAACTACCTTCAGCCTCATGCACTATTAATTCTGCCTATTGAACCGAACAGTTAAACTCTACTTACAAATGGACAATCCCATGGCTGTCGCTGATACGGCTAATCATGAGATGTACTATACAGTCTAAATTCTGCTATTGTTAGTCCTGTTTTTTTATATGCAGCTGTACGAACGTTCAAGTACTGTGGGCTCACTCACTCAATAATAACCGGTAGTTCATCTGACAGTCAAATTTTAGGCGATCATGTCGTGGAAAGCAAGATATTCCTGTCCCCATACGTGCGGTAAGAATCCTCTAGTTATTTCGAAAGCATGTCATCACCGGACTGAAACTAGTGAAATTACAGAGAATCTTTCTTGCTGGTTTCTAGTGGGTACTTTCGTAGGCATGTGAGCCTGAGTTCACGCACGCAAATCATACATATAAACGTAGTGGGCATCAGTTTATTCCTCGCTACCTTGCTAAATCTCATGAAGCGACTGAAGCTCAGGCTTTCACTCTGGGTGTATTGCAGACTAATCCTGTCCACTCGTGTTTCGGCGTAAACTGTTACCTCCACTTTGAGGCTGATAATCAAGTGGGTTGTCCGCTTCGATTGAATGTAAATCGGTGATGTTGGCAACGCAAGCTTGAGAAAGCCCAATGGTTTCAACAGTTTTCATCCGCTTTCAATCGCCGACTGTGAATTTCCTCGGTACGCCCAATTCCGCAGTGGACGCTAGTTCACCTATCATTGGATTACTTTCGACTGTTTTTTTCACCGTTGGTCATCGTATGCCGACATTGTTCTTTACGTTATGGTCAATCTGAGGATGGTGAACACAGAGGTCGAAAGAGGGCTGAAGCATGGAACTACAAGTGACCACGGGAAAACGCGCGGGATACCTGCGTCAGTAGACGAGATTGTGCGAAGAGATAGAGCTTTTAGGCCTCCTAGCAACATCTCATCGTTATTTTGAGTGTGCATGAATTGTGTTTCAAACGTGCTCAAACAAGGGATAAACTCAAAATCCACATGACAAATTTATTTTTTAAATTTTCATCTAGTTGTTACATAACGTCAGGGGTAAGTATACCTGCTGAAGAGGTCAAGTTCCATTATACATATCCTATAAGTGGAACAGTTTCATCCATCTGTTCAATTGATTTTTTTGTGCTCTCTTTGCTGTAGGTGACTCTGAGGACAATCTAGTCACTGCAGCCGACGAGAACAACGGCAACACAAACGCGGATTCAACACAGACTAATCATTCTTTGATTCACCCAGACGACGCTCATGAGAATACTGTTTCCTCTGACCTGGGATCAGAAACGAGCGAGTCGAAACAACCGTCAGTGCCATGGACCGACAGTAGTAACAAGCGCCCTTTGGAGCAGTTCAGCCAATGTGGTGTATCTTTATCTGCTGCCCCCATCCTCGAGTTAGACGAAGAGTAGGACAGTTTCCGTGGGGCCATCCCCATAGATGTTGCTGTGGTTTCCTTCCATTTCCAACAATGATATGCTTTCTTGTCAATCTGGTCTCACTTTATTCATCTTTTTCCTCCCTCTGACAAACGGAAGACCTAACTCCGTTTCGTCAATCTATCAGTTTAACGCAGCATGTGAATACATACTAGTCGAATCGATTTCGTCTTGTGTTTGCTGAAGAACGGGACTTTCACTTGCTCCAGCAATCCGGGTATTAAGATCCCTCTGTCCAATACAAAACGCCATTTCTTTTTCAGCTCCATTGTGTCGTTTTCATTGGATGGTTGGATTAACACCCTTGGGACTGAGGTCCTCCCTTCTCCGGATGGGCCTACCTCATAACCTTTTGTCCTTGCTTTAGTTCACTTTGCCTTGGATGTGGACTCTCAACCTCCAAAAAGGCCCCTACAATGTATTGACATGGAGTCCACTGATAACCGGTGGAAGTAAGTTATAGTGACCAGTGAAGACGAATGAAGCACCTTTAGATCGTTACCCGAATGCGGTACATGAACCTTCTTTTGAATCGATCCTGCATAGCTTTCAATTCACACTCATCTGGCTGGTGTCTACCCACCTGCACACCGGCTTGGTGACTTATTGGGCTTAGCCACTTGTCTTAGTTGTTCCTTGTTTTGCTGGTATTCTGATATATGTGGGTGAGTGTCTGCTCAGATGCGTTGTCACGGTGACATTCTAGTTGTGATCAATAATTAATCTCTTTCCAGCGCTCGTCAATTGTATACTTATGGTGCACTATTTACCTGACAATATACTGTTCATAGGAGTGCTGCAAGCTCTTCGCCGGTCGACGATGGCTTTCGTCCTTCTTGGAGCTCATCAAACAAGCGCCACACCCCATTTTCCGTCAAACTTTTGTTCTACTTTAATCCAACTTGTTTGGAAAATACGTTCATTTGCAAATTAACTTGGTTGACGGATAATCAGGGATTGCTTCTACCTGGAGCTTATGCGTATTGTGTTGAGTCAGGGAAATATACTGCGCTATCCCGAATATCATGTCAGCTGAAATATGAGGCGGTCTTCTTGCAGCACATTCAGTTGAAGAATATCAGGAACGAGAGATCCAGTTGAGTCTCCGGTGTACAACAGATTGATTTGAAAATGGGTATATTTGTCGAAATCAGTCCTATTTCGGGTTCAGTTAGAACTGCGCCTACTTGATGAGCCTCCAGAAGGGCGAAACCGGTTTTTCTCTCGCTCTTAGTGGCTGGTAAATGGGATCAATTTCGACGTGTTTGTTGATGGCTTCTTCCACCGAAGGCGTTGGGTTAACCAATCAATGCAAAGGAACACGGACCACAACGCAACAAGGATCACAGACGGACCAATAGACTCACTAAATTCGCTACACTTCAAGTAGCCAATCACGCCAGAAGATAACAGATAGTCTTTGACTGCTATATAAACGTACGCATGCAAGGAAGAAGTACCCACCCAACTGCGCGCTGATGTCTCCTCGTATGGTGACAAAACGTTTGCAAGCCAATTGCCAAGCTCGGCGAACAGATCAACAGCCACCTGACCAACAACCAATCATGAGAATCGGTTGGCACTTCTGTTAAACCCAAGTGAGCTTGTAAATAAGTATTTCGCGGCGTTCCACTAGCTTCTTCCCTTTGACTACTGCGCTATCAACAGCCACCTGATCAACAACCAATCATGAGAATCGGTTGACACTTCTGTTAAAACCAAATGAGCTTGTAACTAAGTATTTCGCGGCGTTCCACTAGATTCTTCCCTTTGACTACTGCGCTGCAAACGAATTGCGAGGTAAAAGTTATGGTATGCTTTACTGGAGTAGTGTTTCGCTGGTTGTTGGTTGTATTTCGATGAGCCAACTGCTTCGTTAGGAGTTGTGGTTCTCCTTACGCTGAGAAACTCGAGCTATTTTTCCCGAAAACGCCCACCTGACTAACTCAGCCGTTGAAGTCGATGCTAGTCCAGATTACAGAGCTGTCACACGACCAGTCTGTTGTATTTTGTTGTTTCCTTTCTGTGTATGATTTTATAGTTGCAAAAGTCGAAATGGCGCTACATCCACCGGGGATACGTAAGATCCATTTTGTGAGGGAGAACTAATATGGTGAACGGGGCTTCTGGTAACCGTCTATTTGGTTGATAAGTCCAGCTTGGAACAGGATGGACCAGTTCGTTGTAATTCCCCGGTGCGTTCTTCCTTTGAATCTTATTTAATTGTCAGACAGATTTTTCTTCCAAAACTAGGAATTCACAAGTGAAAATGTCCAACTCTGCTGGGTCGTAGACTTCAATAGCTGGGGAACTCAGCGAACGGCCGACTGGGTATCTATTCCTTCGCTCTGTAGCAATCTAGAGCGAGATGAATTCAAAATGTTAGTAAATTTTTCAGGGAATTCCTGACCAAAAATGGTGTTATTGGCACGTTCTGACACTTGTGCTCATGTCCACCTCCCATCGTTCTTACACGACAGAGGGCGAGCTACAAACAGTTTGCTAACATGAATTTAGTGACTGTTGGTTTTCTTGTGCACCCACTCCGCTTCAGCTAAGTCGTGTTTTACAGCTTCTGTTTTGAAACAAGAGTTTGACAGTTTCTTCTGGTTGGCAAACGAATTAGGTAGTTATTCCTGTGTCATTGTTACAGTTTAATTAGTATGAAGTTTAAAAAAACGCAGCGAGTAAGACCTGAGGAATAGGGGACCGTTTTCTGCAGACCGATTCTGTGGGTCGATAGGGTCAATGCCAAGAACTCGGACATTCTGGCGCGTTTCAGCCGAACCTCTCATATCAGTGTCCATCATCGTCGAATGAACCGCTCTATCATGCNCCAAGCAAGGGCATTAATGCATTTGCACTTATCCACACGGACGTGTCCAATGCCAAGCATCCCTAGTTATTGTTTGACAGAGGACTTACAGACAACAGTTCGTGGATTTAGTCTGATTCTTCTTCAACGAATCAGTGTTAAGAGGAACCCCCGTTGATTACGGTACACCATACAGTAGACTGACTGGTCTGCCAATTAATTTTTGGCATGATGGGTAGCGCAACACTTCAGTGAGGAAATGGATCTGAGGGAATTTTTTCACAGAACTGCCGCTCTGATTCACAAAATGAGCTTGGATCTGTTTCCAAACAATATAATAGAACAATATCTCAAAGAATACATACATTCTTCTAGTTTTTTTTTAGATTTTACTGGTTTGAAAAGGTTTCTGGTGTTATTAACAGCTTCCTATGAAGAACTTCCCCTTAGTGTAAATCCTTTTATCTGAATTCATTAGATAACATGACCTTGTAAAACTAGGATTCATCGATGTGGGGATGGTAAGTAGCCCTTGGTTACTGACGAATATTTAATGCTGTAGTGAGTTTGGTAGATTATTTTAGGTCAGAAATATTCGAGAATATATGTGGCGCAAACGAGTCAAGAACTACGCCCTAGTACACCGTATTAATCGTACAAACTCAACAAAATGTGTTCGAGATGAAACTACGCTGTTGACGCAAACGATACCGGTCACGTAACTTGCAACGACGGGAGATCCCCACTGTACCGCGGTCCACGGTCATCCGCCTTTCGTACTTAGAACGTATCTAATCTCTCGTGAATTTACCTCTATCTATCAGGTCCACAATGCACTTTTGATGGGCTGTGTTGCTGAGGGTAGGCAATCCACCATTGAAATTGCAGCCCATTAGTAGTTATAGTCATAACAGCTAACGGAGCAGATGAAAATATAGTACCTACAACGGTGAAGAGCAAATGGGGCCTTGTCCGCAAAAGTGCGATGCGGAGATGCAGGGAAAACGCCTGAAGGAACGCGATCAAGGTTGCATTGCAAGTGTGTAGTATCCTGTTCAGCGTTTAACAACCTGCAAAGAAAGCAGTTGCAAATTCAATTCAGTTACCTGATATCTGGTTGAAACCAATCCTTCGATTGACAAAGAGCACGCCTCCTATGTCCTGTACCAAGTAACTGAACCGGTCGCGATTGTACTGTCCAAACTTTCATCGATTTCGAAGGCAATTGGAATCTCACTATATGACTCACAACTTCGTGACTAAAGGAGGCTTGTGCGTGTGGGATGAGATAGCTCAGTGGTTGGAGCGCGAATTCACCGACGGGGAGGTAGGAAGTAATCTGGGTAGTACTGCGTTTTACGACCTGCAAAGAAAGCAGTTGTAAATTCAATTCAGTTACCTGATATCTGGTTGAAACCAATCCTTCGATTGACAAAGAGCACGCCTCCTATGTCCTGTACCAAGTAACTGAACCGGTCGCGATTGTACAGTCCAAACTTTCATCGATTTCGAAGGCAGTCGAAGGCAATTGGAATCCCACTGTATGACTCACAACTTCGTGACTAAAGGAGGCTTGTGCGTGTGGGATGAGATAGCTCAGTGGTTGGAGCGCGAATTCACCGACGGGGAGGTCCGTGGTTCAAACCCCGCCTCTGCATCTTGACTTCTTCGGTTTAGGCTCAACGTTATCTCACTCCTCGCGCCTCCTTCGGGTGGCATGAAAGCTACGCACAGAGCGGATGTTACAGCTGAACGATTTTTTTTATTTTTGTGTGACCTCTGGATGTGAAATGGCCGAAGAATATGGTCTCACAAACTTGTCTGGTATCGATGCCACTCACTTGACTCCATGACTGATTGGCTGGTGCAACCCGTTTGAAAGAGTATATGTGATTTTCACTTAATCTTTGCGCGTAATTTCTGGTATCGTATAAATTTGTGGTGCATTAACCAAGAGAACCAGTCATACATTAAAAGCACGTTTTTCGCTATGTTCTCCTTGCGAACAAGTAAGCTAATCAACAAATCGATGGACAGAACTATTTAAAAGTTTTGATAATGCGGTCTTAAATTAGTTTGGGAACCTTGAGTGTCTTGCGATGTGCAAGGACACCAAACTTTTAATAAAATCAACGAACCGGGGCACAGTCAACAGTCAAAAACCGAATGAACGTATTGATAGACATTCCTATTTGACCCAGGTCAATCGCCCTTACGGGATCGAACTGTCATCTCTATGGGCCAGTGTGATTTCGAATAACGAGACGGAACGCAAGACGAAGAACGCAGTAGTGATACATTTTACGAACAATTCACTTCATTTATCAGTTCGAAATAGCACGTTGAGATCT